TGTGTATTTGGTGGCAGGTGTTAAAGGAGAAAAAGGAACCTGGGGTCTTCCAGGCTCCAAAGGAGAAAAAGGCGACCAGGGGGCCCAGGGACCACCAGGTATTTCAACTCTTGGGCTAGATCTTGCCTTTGACTATTGTCCCTGAGAAACCCAACTGAGCCAAAAAGTAAGACTAATTCCATAACCACCCTGACCGCAAGCTGCACAGAGTTGAAGAGAGACCCAGTCATGGGTGACATGTCCAAGATGGAACATTGTCAGGAGAGACTAGAAGTTCCTATTATTCATGCTTCATATGCCAAAGGGGTGTGCCAAGATCCCACAGTGCCTGGGGTGGGAATCCAGGCCAGGACTGTTTCGGTCTCCAAGCCCAGTGCCCACTCTGTTAGCTAAATCAATGCAGAGTCACTTCCACTGGGAAATAATCATGGGTGCCAACGTGGCGCCTTTTCTTTGTAAATTTCTGAGATTGTGCGTTTCTTTTGCAGGCCCTCCAATGGACCCAGCTTACCTAAGACATTTTATAAACAGCTTGAAGGTGAGTATTTGTCTCTTAAATTTGGGCCTGTGTTTCCAAGTTCTCAGGTGTATGTCAAAGACTGGTTCTTCCTACTCGTACTAAATGTTCTTTGAATGTGCTCTGCTTCCAGGGGGAGAATGGAGACAGGGGGTTTAAAGGAGAAAAAGGAGACTCTATCGGCGACTTCTCTGTGTCAGGACCTCCAGGCTGGCCAGGAAGCCCAGGCCTGGCTGTGAGTAGTGACCCCTCCACGCCACCTTCCTTGTCAAGTCACCGCTTTCCCTGAAACCCCCCAATGTGACTAGGCAGTTGGAGAGTCAAGAGTTAGTCATTAGCCACAAGCTGAGGTGGGACTTGGGCATCAGCCTCTTGTTGACTGAGGCGGACTTGGCTGAGGCCCACGAAAGACAGGGAGCCGGCCAAGGCCATAAGCATTCAAGTTACTTCCAGGTCTCTAACTGGGCTGCCTTGTTCATGTTAACGGTGGGAAATTGCTGAATATGAAGAGATGTTAATAGTGAACACATCAGATAGTGGAGACAGAATGGAAGGTGAGGGAGGCATTTTTCAGAGGGGCGATTTCATTCTTTTGAAATTTCATCAAAGAGGAAGCTCTTAGATGGGCTTGATCTTCTTGGGCTGACAAATTTCTCCAGGTCACAAAAGAGGAAATCGAGTTATGCCTCTAATAAGAGTATGATGAGATCACTGACCCTCAGGGACCATAAGCAAACTCTGGTCCCAGAGCCTGCCATGAGGGCAGACTCAGCAAAGCCAGGAGTCCAGGGTTCTACTTCCAGATCCACTTCCGTTTGCTTTGGTAAAGTCTTGTCCTCAATCTAGATCTCAGCTTCTTTATCTGTGAACTGAAAAGGCTAGGGTAGATGATCTTCTAGTTTGGGGCTCTCTCGGGTACTCTGGAGTGTCATTCAACACAGTGACTGGGCATACTCCACTCGAGTTGTGCCCAAGATTGAGGATAATGTTGACAATAGCTAGTATTTATTGATTACTTACAAATGTCCTCTTAAAAAGAATAGGGGGGATTTCTAGTGATTAATGTTGCTTTCTCTCTTCTGTTCCTGTGCCCTTGCCTTCACAGGGTCAGAAAGGGGAGACTATCGTTGGGCCCCAGGGACCCCCAGGTGTTCCTGGCCTACCTGGGCCACCTGGCTTTGGAAGACCTGGTTCTCCTGGGCCACCGGGACCCCCAGGGCCACCAGGACCTCCAGCTATCCTAGGAGCAGGTTAGTACTTCGATGGTGCCCACACTTATGCCATCTGGTGGCATGTCAACTACACTGACAAAGGGCTGCTTCCCAAATGGAACTTCCTTCCTTCCTTCCTTCCTTCCTTCCTTCCTTCCTTCCTTCCTTCCTTCCTTCCTTTCTTCTTTTCCTTCCTTCGTTCCTTTCTTTTTTTTAAAAATTGAGATAATTTATAAAATTCACCCATTTAAAGTATACAATTCATATATTCACAAGGTTATGCAGCCATTGCCACTCTAATTCCAGTACAGTTTTATCACCTCAAAAAGAAACCCTGTGCCAATTAGCAACACGCCTCTACCCCCATCCCCCAAACCTGGCAACCAATGATGTACTTTCTGTATCTATAGATTTGCCTATTCTGGACATTTCATATAAATGAAATCACATATTATGTGGCCTTTTGTGTTTGGCTTCTTTCACTTAACACAGTGCTTTCAAGGGTCCACGTTGCAGTGTGTATCAGAATTTCATTCCTTTTTATGGCTGCTTAACATTCCAGTGATACATTTTGTTTATCCATTCATAAGTTGATGGACATTTGAGCTGTTTCTACTCTTTGACTGTTATGAATAGTACTGCATGAACATACGTGTACAAGTTTTTGTGTGGATGTATGTTTTCAGTTCTCTTGGATATATACCTAGGAGTGGAATTGTTGGGTCATACATGTTTAACTCCTTAAGGAACCTTATCAGACTATTTCCCAAAGTGACTGCACCATTTTGCATTCCCTCCAGCAGTGTACAGAAGTTTTGATTTCAGCCCTGGCTGGGTGGCTCAGGTAGTTGGAGCATTGTCTCATACACCAAAAGGTTGCAGGTTTGATTCCTGGTCAAGGAACATACCTAGGATTTGATCCCAGTGCATGTATGTGAGGCAACTGATGGATGTTTCTCTCTCACCTCTCTCTCTCTCTCTCTCTCTCTCTCTCTCTCTCTCTCAAATGAATAAACGTATCTTCAGGATGAGGATTTTTTAAAAGTTTCAATATCTCCTCCTCTTCATCAACGCTTGTTATTACCTTTTTTTCTAGTCACCCTAGTGTGTGTGAAGTGATACTCATTGTGGTTCTGATTTGCATTCCCCTAAAAACGCCTGATGTTAGGTATCTTTTCATGTGTGGGTGGAAACTGCTTGACTGCTTTGCCTATCCCTGGGCCTTACGGAACTTGAGGACCAGCATTGATTCTAACTCTCTATGTAAAAATTCTTTCACCTGTTAGTGCCTCACTTTCTCAAATGGAAAATGGGTGAAACAGAAGAAAATCTCCATTTACCAAGTGCCAGGAACTCTGCTAGTCACTCTACTACATTATTTTATTAAAATCTCACAAAGCCCTTCAAGGAAAGTATCAGCATCCCCATTTTGCTGATGAAAAAAGTGAGATCCAGAGACGTTTAGGAACCTTGCCAAGGTCACACAGCTAATAAGTGGCACCAACAGGTTTAGGACCCAGGTCAGTGTAGCTCTGAAGCCTGTGTTCTTTCCACTGTGCCCATGGTGGGAAAATAATACTAGCAGCAATAATAGCATGGCTGCATCACTTTTTGTGATTTGGGCTGGCATGAGCCAGGTGTGGTGGTAGCACACCTGGGAAGATATCTGCAATGTCTGGGCACCAGGGAGAACTTTACGTAGTGGGTGACTTTGGGGCTGGGGCTTTGACTTAGTCTTGGATCTTTGGGCTACAAGTGACAGAAATGTAACTCAGACGAGATCCAGCAGAAGTGACACGTACAGCATGTCAAGGAAAGGTGAACAGTCAATGTGTGGGAGACACAGATGTGCGGCAGGACCTCAGGTACAACCAGAACCAGGGGCCCAACCCTTGCGAGGGTCCTCTGGCTGTCTCTTGTCTCAGCTTCTCTCTGTATGCACACTTCATGTTTCTTCACCACAGACCACATCCTCTGCATGGTGGGAAGGAAATATGGTTACTGACAGCTTACAGCTTCTACTGTCAGCTAGAGATCTTGGCCTCTCTTCTCAATTTTTGTTTGCAAAGTCCTGGGATGGAGCAAGTCTTGGGAAAGGCTTTTGATTGGCCTGACTTGGGCTAGGTGCCCAACCTATGGGCAGGAGGTAGGATCACATGAGAATATGGCAGCTCCTTCTGGAACCAAATGGTTGTAGAGGTGAAGGGGAAGATCCCAAGAGAAGGTGAAGGTACTGGTCCTGCAAAGAAAGAAGGTGCTGAATTGATAAACCATTGGTGTCTTGAGTGATGAGCAGGAATTACAGGAGGTGGGGCTGGGGGACATTACAGGGAGAGTACAGGATGCAGAGGATCTGTTGTCCACAGTAGCCCTACACTAGGGGCCCCAGGACTCCTTGCTCAATAGAACAAAGATTGTCCCTCACATAATGTACAGCAATTCACAGTTTACAAAACACTCCCAGATTCATTATCCCACTTAATTTTCACAGCATCCTTGGGAGGGAGATGAAATGGAAACTACTATAAAACTCATTTCGTTCATGAAGACACTGAAGCTCAGAGAGGTTAAGAAACTTGCTCAAGGTCACAAATACTAGGAAGAGGCATGGCTAAATCCGAGTCCTCTACCTGCTCTCCACTGGGCATTCACCACCTGTGTACGGATCTTCAAGTCCTGTGTCGGAACTGCAAACTTACTGGCAATGACCTGAAAAATCTGATACAGTCATTTTACTGGGATTTGTAAAAACATCCTTAACTCTGCAAGAGCCTTGCAGAGTTGAGGGAGGAATAGGGGCTTGGAAAGGTAGAAGGAGAGGAAAAGAATAGCTGTAATAATGTTTCTTTATGCTTGCCCGTTTTGTTGGGGAACCATAAACTCCTTGAAAATTCAAAGATCGCCTCAGGGAGCTGTCATCCCACTAACATTTTATGTGGAATTGTGTGTGTGTGTGTGCACGTGCATTTTTCTAGGGAAGAGGGCAATAGCCTCGATCTGATTAAGCGCACTGTGACTCTTCAAAAGCAAGAGCCTCTGGCAAATTGAATGCTGTACAATTTGCAAAGCACGTGCCTAGTTTGTATTTTTCTCAGTTCTCATTACAGCCCAGTGAAGAAGAAATGCCTGCTTACCTTTCACAGATAAGGAAGCTAGGGTTTGGAGAGCTTGCTGTTTCCCCAAGATCACACAGCTGAAATCGGGGACCTGAGGCCCTGTCTCCTGGCCCCAAGGCTCCTGTCACTTCACCTACTTGCCCTCCTTCCGCAGCCTGGCACCTTCTCTTCCTCTTTCTGAGCCCGCTTCCTCTGTTCAGTAGTTTTTGGATGTGAGTGACAGAAAACGCAACCCAGACTGACTTACACAAACAACAGTAACCAGGGGGATGTATTCACTTATAAAATGGAAAAGTCCTGGGCAGGGCTTCATCCAGTGCTATCATTAAAAAGCCCAAATGGACACAGACACTGGGGCGATGGGGGCTTGCCCGGGGTGGGAATGGCTGGAGGGGGGAGTCAATCAGGGAAAAAGGAGACGTATGTAAAACTTTAGACAATAAAAAAATAAAACAATAAAGGCTTTAAAAATAAATAAAGTTATAAAGAAAAAAATACTGCCATTTTTATTTTTCATTTCCTTGTGCCTAGAAACCTGCCTGACTCAACAATGCATATTATTGAATAATCTTCAAAATTATAATACTGCCAACAAGGCATTTGAGATTCATCTTATGCTATTTAATAATTGATATAAGAATAAAAGTGCCTAATGTAAAATAATCTCACCCTTTTATTGAAATAAATTCTACATGATTAAAAAAGGCAAATATAAAATTCTAATAAAAGAAAACAGGTAGACCATAGGATTAAGAAAATTATATCTAGCTTTAGAGAAATGATAACTGCAAACAAGAAATAATCCGCAGATTCAATTACGTAAATATTTAAAGCCTTGGTACAATAAAAAGTAACATAACTACAAAGCAGAAGAAAACTATAGACTAAGAAAATATGTATAGCAAACAAGGATGCTCATGGAAATTGACAAGAAAAGCATCTAGGCACAAAAAGTAACTAACCAAAGGAAAAAAAAAAAAACAATTCACACAAGAGGAAACACAATTGCTAAACAAACATTTAGACAAATAGTCTCTGAAACTACCAAAAACACAGAGTATTGTTTTTCACATGCTACATTAACTAGTATTTTAAGTGAAAATCTATAATCATGATCAAAATATTTTAAAATTAGTATCTGGTATGCCAATAAAGGCAATTTAAATTTGTTCAACCATCTTAAAAAGTTATTTGGAAATGTAATTTATGAGATTTTTTTTAAAAAATTCTTACAGCAGACCCAGTAAAATCACTCATAAGAATAAAGTATATGAAAAACACATAGGCATGAATATTTCCATTGCAGTATTATTTACAAGTTGAGCATGTATGTGACAATTATAGAACTGTATGAAATATTATGCAGCCATTATAAAATTAATATAAAGACAAATACATGTTCGATAAAAGAATAAAGAAAGATATATTTTTTGTAAATGCCATTCTACATATATATTCCAAACATATATGACATTCTAAATACAGAAGACAAAATTTTAATGTTGCTACCCGGCGAGGCGAGAAAGATTCAAGACCTAAGTAGAATTGAAGTTCCAAATGCAACCACATTTGAAGCTCTGTGAGCATCAGTGTGGGACAGCACATTTAACCATGTCAGCGCCACTGAACAGCTCACAGAAACGGAAGTGGCCAAACTGCCCGACCACTTTGTTGATACCGGCACCCAACAAAGGCAACTCTCCACAGTTTTTAAATGTCTTTATTCTCGCAGCCTATTATCTTCTTGTTTTAACATATCTATTACAATTTAGAGTTGTGTTCCAAAGTAATTCATGTTTTTGTTTTATCAAAAAGACTGCCCTTTGGTTATGAGGAAGCTGTGTATCACCCTATGGCACCATAAGCCTTTTCACTGACGAAGAGGGGGGGTGGCTTATATTGGACTTGACCAGGAGGCCAGCTTTCCGAGTGTGCCACGGCTCCCATGATAACTGCAGTATTTGGAATTTTAAACGCCCTGACAGGTTACAGCCCTGAGGAGCATGGACGACATGCTGCAGAATGCACATTTGGTGACAGAAGGGACATTCATCTACCTGAGGGACAGCACCGAGTTTTTCATTCGTGTCAGAGACGGTTGGAAAAAATTACAGGTAATTCTTCAACTTTCTTGAATAAATTGCCTCCAAATACCCCTGAAAAGTAATAATCTACTCCAGTGAATGTTATTTTTCCATTTTAAAAATAGGTGAACAGTTTGCAGTTGGCTCATTTTCAATGTACTGTTTTTTCTTAAAGCTGGGAGAACTGATCCCCATTCCTGCCGACAGCCCTCCACCCCCCGCGCTTTCCAGCAATAACGTGAGTAGTTTCCCTGCCTTGCGTCTTGCTCAGCATTTACTGAGTCCTCCCCTGGTACCCGGCACCAAGCTCTCCAAACTCTGGACAGCCAGCGCTGCATGGTTCGGTATCTGGTGGACGCCCAGAGATGACCAGGTGCCCACAGAATGTTCTCACTACAGAGTGGAGGGAGATCTGGACCCAGAGTCTGGAGATCTGTTTCCATGTCGTAGCTGAACCTCTGGTTGAGGGGCTTTCCCTCTCTTGGCCTCAGTTTATTCATATATCATGGTTGGCATAAGCGATCTTAAAGAACCCTTTAATATTTGACACTCGTCGGCAACTTACATTGTCCATTTCTTGACCCTACAGCCACCTTCGAGACAGGTACTATCATCCCATTTTGCAGATGAGGAAACAGGCTCTGAAGAGGTGACTTGCTCTATTAAGGGAATGGGTCAGCTGTAAAACATGGGCCTTCTGCTTCCCTGATTCAGTGCTCTTTCTAAAAGACAGAATATTCCCCTCCTTTCTGAGAATTATTTTTTTTCATTCCCAGTTAAGAGTGGCCCAAAGACCATGACAAACTAAACTACCTTCTCCAGAAACTGCACTTGTACCTCAATGTACTCTGAAGAACAGATTGAATGAAATGAAAATAGTCAGAACTGTTTGTTTTCTTTCTTTTTTTTACATAATAGCTACATCCGCTTCGGCCTCCACTGACGTCTGTTTCAAGTGTCAATTATGGGAGGCCTGCAGTAAGTACAATTCATGCACTTACCCTGCAGATGCTGAATGTGTGTCTACTATGTGCTAGGTCCCATGCTAGGCACACAGCTCCTACTGTCAAGGTGCAAACAGACTAGCAAGAGAGTCAAACAAAAAAATAGGTAATTACAGTACATTGTACTAAGTCATTTGGGTGAGGCAATCAAAGGATGCTGGGGCGTGCGAGGAAGGTCGAAGAAGTCTGCCTTCTTTAGAGGAGGTGACCTCTAAACTAAGATCTAAAAGGCAGCTGAGAGCAGGAGAAAGCCAGGTGAGCGGAAGAGAGTGGGAATTCCAGGCAGAGGGCATATGGAACAGCGGGAGGCAAGGTGGAGTGTGTACATTTCTGTAATTCTGAGTATTTCAGTCTGGCTGAAGGAGTAGAGGTCAAGAGATGTTCAGTCTGCAAAGGGCACGGGCTAGTCATCAAGGGCCTGTAAGCCAAGCTTCTGACTTTGACCTTCTCCAGTGGACAATGAAAAGTATTAAGCAAGAAAAGGGTATTATAAGATTGGCATTTCAGAAATTACTTTGGGTGTAGTGTACAAATGGATTAGAGGGGACAAGACCAGGGGTCCTAACAGCAGTTAGGCAGCTACTCTATTATCTGGACCAGCAGTCGCCAACCGGTGGTCCGCGGACCACTGGTGGTCCATGAGTTCCAAAAGGTTGGCAACAGCTGATCTGGACTATGATCATAGCAGCGAACCTAGAAAAGTGGGCAGATTGGAAAGAAAAGGAAACGGGAGGAGCAAATGTGCTAATTGACTGGATAAGGGGAGGCGTGGATGAGGGAGTTCAAGAATAATGTCAGGTTTCCACTTGGGTAACAGATTCCTTTCCAGAGTCATTTGCAGAAAGTAAAACTCTTGTCCCTGCTATTAGTCTGCTCCACTATCTTTACAGACCAGCTTTTGCAAAAATCTTTCTTCCTAACTCCCTTCCACCCCCACCCCAACACACAGACATAGGTTATATCTTCAAAGCTTACACACAACCTTGGGTTGTCATGCACTGATCCTGGCCCTAGTTCAATGTGATCTTACAGCTGCCCAATACTTTCTGACTCAATTCAGAGTCTTGAGAGAGATGGTTTATATGGGTCATCTTGGGTCAATCACTCACTCCCAGACAAAATCAAAACTAGCCAAGATCGCATGGCCTAAGACCACTTTTTTAAACAAGAGTTGTGAAGGCATTTTAGCAAAGAACAAGGCATGGTTGGGCAGACACCAGAAGCATGTTCCCTATCATACTGTCTTTACCGTGCAGGAGTTCACCTGAGGCACCTACAGGCCTGAGGCACCTGTTGGATATCTGAGTGGAGACTTCCAGGAGGGAATAGGATCTGAACATATGAAACACCACAGTGGGTCTGGTCTGGAGATTTAGACTTAGAGTCTTTAGCCAAGCCATGGCAATAATGATGGGGTGGTAGGATTCCCGAAAGAGAATCTCTACAGTGAGAAGAGATTGGACCATTAGGAGCCCCAGGTAGAGATTGAATAAGACGCCCCCGGGTGTGCCTTCCATTCTAAGAAGTCTGGGATCTCATTAGGAACATGAGATGGTTTTGGGACTTGGAGTTTGCCTTTCACTCTTTAACTGTACTGTCTTCTCTAATTTTTTTTTTTTTGCAGCTGCACTTGGTTGCTCTGAACATGCCATTTTCTGGGGACGTTCGAGCTGATTTTCAGTGCTTCCAGCAGGCCAGGCATGCAGGACTGTTGTCCACCTACCGAGCATTCTTATCCTCCCATCTGCAAGATCTCTCCACAGTTGTGAGGAAAGTGGAGAGATACAGCCTCCCAATAGTAAACCTCAAGGTAAAAATAGATACTGTCCCTGTTGCCTCCTGGGTGCACTGGTCTCCACAGGGGCTGCAGGCAGTTGCCACTTTCTGACATCGTCCCAAGTATGCTGGTTCCAGGCCCAGCCTGTCCCTGATTGGCTGTGTGACTTTGGATCTTAGTTTTCTAATATTTACAGTAGCCTTCCTGCCTGGATGGTATGACTCATGGAGCAGACAGGAGCGAGGAATAATGACCTCTTTCACTTACATAGTTTTCTAATGTTTCCAAAGTACTTTACATTCATTATCTTAATAGGTACTTCCAATAAAAATGGAAGTTATTCTTCTGTCTGACGAGGAAACTGAGGTTCAGGAGAAAGACCTTTGCTCAAAGTCACTACAATTTAGAATGAGTTTCCTTGACCCCCACATCTGGGGCTCTTGGTGCCACCTGAGATGCCTTCTGTAGGGCACCGGCTGAGTGGTATCAGAGAATAGCTGGTAATCGCTGGTTGCAGAGCAGACACCTTGTCCTGCAACCAGGTTTGGTGTCTTCGGCACATCTAAGCTGCCAAAGCCTGGAAGACATTTCTCTGCCCCCACTTGGAGGCAAGGCAGGGCCTCATAGGATGCTTCAGTGGTATAATTATACCATGGAAGTAGCTGACTCCTTTAAAGCTGCAGAGGTACAGCTCTGTTCCTGCTCACACACATCCTGGGTCCTGACCTCCCACTAGATCTCAAAGGTACTTTGAGACCCTCTGGTCCTTGGGACTTTAGTACTTTCATTTGTGACCAAATTATTTGTATGCTTGGAATAAAAATAACTGAAGGGAACAGGGCTCCTTCAGAAAAAGGAGCAAGAGATTTATCTCCATGATGTGGATTGGCACAAATGTGAAGCTCAGTATATACATATAAAATATTTTCCAACAATAATAAAATAAAGACCTAAAACACACTTTTGATGGGATGGGACCTTGTATACATATTATAAGAAAAATTAGTTCAAGAAATAAGATAGTAAAACTGAAAGGGTTCAGGAATGGATGATAAAATCAAACAACAGATATTTCCTGAGTCCCCACTCTGTCTCTATGATTGAGGTTGACTTCAGTGTGAGGTGACATCTGGCCTTAAAGAATGAACAAATAGTCCTGGCTGGTGTGGCTCAGTTGGTTGGGTGTCATCCCCTGCACTGAAAGCTTGCCAGTTTGATTTCTAGTCAGGGAACATGCCCGGGGTTGTGGGCTCGATACCTGGTAGGGGGTGTGCAGGAGGCAGCCTATTGATGTCTCTCTCTCTTTTCCTCTCTCTCTCTCTCCCTCCCTCCCTCCCTCCCTCTCTCCCCCTCTCTAAAATATCAATTTAAAAAAATCTTTAAATTAAAAAAAAAAACAATGAGTAAATAGCTAGTCCATTTGCAGGCTGATGTATAATGATTCCAATGTGACATTTTTGTCTCCATAGGGCCAAGTACTTTTCAATAATTGGGACTCAATTTTTTCTGGCCATGGAGGTCAGTTTAGTACACATGTTCCAATATACTCCTTTGATGGCCGAGACGTGATGACAGATCCTTCTTGGTAAGTAGGGGTGGAAGCCTCAAAGTATATGGTATGATAGACAGTTTTAGGAGACAGTCTAATCATGGGATGCTTTTGTCAGCTGCCCCTCTGGGGTGTTGCCAGCATAAAGCCTCAGGGAGGTAGCTAAGGGACCATGGAAACAGTCCACTCAAATCCTTTGAAAACTATGTATGCTATAAAGAATAGAACAGCCCTAACTGGTTTGGCTCAGTGGATAGAGCGTCGGCCTGTGGACTGAAAGGTCCCAGGTTCGATTCCGGTCAAGGGCATGTACCTTGGTTGCGGGCACATCCCCAGTAGGAGGTGTGCAGGAAGCAGCTGATCGATGTTTCTCTCTCATCGATGTTTCTAACTCTCTCTCTCTCTTCCTCTCTGTAAAAATCAATAAAATATATTTTAAAAAAGAATAGAACAACTCAGCAAATCTTTCCTCAGCATCTACTCTATGCCACACCTGATGCCAGGCCTGGAAGGCACAGTATCTACACGGCCCCTACCCTTCCAGGGCTCACAGCCTACAGGGGAAGATAGACACAGACTAGCTGTGATTCCAGCCAGAACATTGCAATGATAAAATGGAGACGCAGATAAGATGATAGGAGCACAGGGAAAGTACTCACCGTTACTTGGGGGTGAGAATCAAGAAGGCTTCTGTACGAGTAAGCATTTCATGGACTTTGAAAGATGAGAAAGAAACCCTGGTCTGAGAATGAAAGAGAGGCTGGTTTAGACAAAGGGACCTCATGAGGGAAGGGTCCAATTCACAGAGCACAGAGTCTGATTTGAGAACATGTATGAGCTAGGTGTGGTTGGAACGTGGTGTGTTCAGCTACTAGTAATTAGAAAGAGGATTGAAGATGGAGAGGTGATGCAGGGTCAAACCATGGAGGGCTCAGGGGGTTGGACTTAATTCGCTAAACTTATGCCAATTTGTTCACTGAAATATGCCGTGAAGAAGAAAAAAATAACATGACAAAATTACTTTTCAGGCCCCAGAAGGTCGTTTGGCATGGCTCCAACCCCCATGGAGTGCGTCTTGAGGATAACTACTGTGAAGCATGGCGAAGCGCCAGCACAGCAGTCACGGGATTGGCCTCCCCGCTGAGCACGGGGAAGATTCTGGACCAGAAAGCATATAGCTGCGCGAGTAGGCTAATTGTTCTCTGTATCGAAAACAGTTTCATGACCGACGCTAGGAAGTAATGACCTTCCCATGACCTTAAGAGTTCCCCAATTTTTCTTATGTGAAGAGTTGACACTGAAATCTAAAATGTTTAAATGTTGTAAATATTGGTGGGTTTTTTTATTATTACACATTCATCACAACAGCAACCAAAGAAAACATACCTCAATACACTCAAAACTGAAGACATCAACAACTCAGATCAAAGATAAACATCTGATGGGTATATTGGTGCTAGACGCTGCAGGAAACCCCAGGCAGTGCGAACACATCCCAACGTGGCCGAGAGCACGTTGTAGACAAAAGGCCTTGGCATGCTCCCGACTGCATCCTTCAGAAAGTAATTTCCTCCTTTCAGCCATTGTTGTTGAGTGTAAGATGTCCTTCATGTTTTCTTACAAAGTCGGTGTTTAGAAATATTACCCTTCTTTAAGTTATGTGCAGACCCAATGCTTTATTCTTTAATATACACCCATCATTTGCAACTGCTGTTCATACAGAGATACCGAACTGCTCAAATGATCCTATCTGTAGTTTCTGGTATTATCAGATTTTAATGTTTTTATTTTCTGAAATATTGTTATCATGCTTTAGGAGTTTTATATTTTTGCTACCATCATATTTTAGTATGGCATCTGTTTATATCACTCTGACTTGCTGGAAAAGTTTAAACTCCCAGTTATCTGAAACTAGAATAGAAATAACACGTAATTCCTACCTTTCCCTTGGTGGCCCTTCCCCCCACCCCCACCCTGATTTTATGATTTCCCATTTGGCATCTCTTGAATTATAACTGCGATTGAACAAATGGGTTCATGAGGATGACTTTTCTGAGATACCTATATTTCATGCTGTATACTTTGATTTTTTTCCATGTAAGTGAACATAAAAACATCTTTTCCAGGCGCTTTCTTTTGTTTGGTTTTTTCCCCTCTAGTTCCTTTATTCTCCACCACTGATGTGGAAGTGGCTCCCGGTGGGTTTACGAACCCTGTCACTGCCACTTGTGTAGTCCTTGGGGATGATCAGAAAACAGGAAGATTTTCCCATCATGCTCATCTGCTCCTGCTTATTCTCTCCCACTTGGAGGGGGCAGCGTGGGGGTGGGCAGAGGAACCCCAGTGTGGGAAACAGGATGAACTGTGACGGTCTCAACACACGACTTTGGACAAATCTGCTTTTTTCTCTCAAGAAGGTTGAGATCAAATAAGCATAATATCAGCTCCCAGTTATTATACATCAGACTATAAGCGCTGTTTACCTTTCCTCATAACTCTGTAAGGTGGGTGTTTCTATCTCCATTTTATAAAAGAAAAGGTTGAGGGTCAGGAGGTCACACAGCTGCTGAGTGATGGGGCTGGTTTCAGACTCAGGATCTGTCTCATTCCAGTGCCAGGATCTTTTCAAGGAACCACCGTGCAAAGCTGCCCATCCGCTCCTTCCCAGCTCCCAGTCTGTGACTCCCTGCCTCTGGGCTTGACCCTGCAGGAGAAACAGCATCACCAGGCAAAGGGCATGCCAGGATATTTCCTCCCATTCAGTTCAGCTGGCTCAGAAACTCAGCCAAGTGAATCTACACGAATAGTCCTTGAGGTAGGAAGGAAATTGACCCCAAAAATATCCAGAACCTCCACTTAGGGGCTTCCTAAATAGAGGAGTGATGCGAATCTCTCTAATGAGTCACGGAATGAAGACAGATATAGGTTGGAAAGCCCAAGAGGGGGACTGTTGAGGATCAGGCAGTGATGGGGGCTGGGGTGCCTGGATGGACAGGAGCTGTGGAGGAAGAGGAGTGTGAGGCTCCGAGGCCATGAAGTGAAGCCATCCATTTTGGTCAGAGCCCACATGGCCCTGGGTCACAGAGGGGCAAGGTGGGATGGGCGTCTGGGAGAGCCACGAGTAGGAGACCCCTTTTTTTAACCTCAGGAAGTGGTGTTGATGTTCATGTCCTGACTTCTCAGTCCTCTGTGCATCAGAGAGGGTATAACCCATGGCCCTCTCAGAAGGGACCCTGTGTCAACCCCAGCCCCGCTCAGACTCCGAGAATGACCGCTAAAATCCTGGGCCTGGCATTCAAGACCTTCACTGAACACTGCTTCCCTGTCACTTCCCAAGCCGCCTGGGCCCCTCTGCTGGCTGTTCATGCCCTGCCCTGTCTTGGGAAAGCCCTAACCACCCTAGGTCTAGCCTGGCTCTCTTGTTAATAGCCAGTGCAGACCCTGCTTCATCTGTGACCTCACCCTTTCCCCTGAACCTGCCTGCTTTTAGTCACGCTTCCTCCTCTGATCACCTGGTGTGTGTAACACCCACATCTTGTCACACGATTGAAACACAATGGCTGAAAGGTCTCTAAGCCCTCACCCCACTCCTGAATGGACCTCAAGGCCGGGAAATAGAGGAGTGCTCTCAGACATAATAAGGGAGGAAAGATATGCCAGAAGGAGTTCATCTTCGCGGTGTGAGTGGTCTTTGGGTCCTTGCTGGACACTCAAGGTCTGAAGCCAGAAGCAGCCAAGGTCTCCTGTTGAAAGCAGAATCAGAAGGGCAAAGGCACTGTCCCCTATCAACCCCTATCATGGCCATGCCCAGGAGGAGGCCGACTTTGAAGGGCACAAAGGACTGAGGAGAGATGGGGGTGGGGGAGACAGAGCATGAAGGAGAAGGTCCAGGGCATCCTCTCGGCCAACCCGGATGTGGCCACGAGCTGGTGCCTAAAGAAAAATGACAGGAGCCACCCCAGATTCTTGCACCCTCTGGATTTTATGGGGCTTGCGCTGTGCACTGTGCTGCTTGAACCTGTAGGGAGTGCAAGTAGGAGACAGTGTGGAATTCAGGGAACTGCCAGCAATCCAGTACAGCTGCGTATTAGTCAATAAGGAAAACAAGTCAGATTCATAAGAAAAAAAAGAAAAGGCATGTGTTGGCTCATGAAACCAAACTGAAGGACAGAGGATGCAAGAGACTCAAGTGCCATCGTCCCTTTGTGTCCTCTCTCTCTCTCTCTCTCTCTCTCTCTCGTGTTCTCGTGTGTGTGTGTGTGTGTGTGTGTGTGTGTGTGTGTGTGTGTGGCTTCTGCTTGTGTCTGTATATGGCTTCCTTCCCTCCAACTGAGGACAAGATTCCTTCATGCGGCAGGGGCTGTTCCCAGACAGCTCCAGGCTCACATTACTCCACCAGCCCAGAGAGTGGCCACAAAGGAGAGAGAAGACTCCCTCTCCCCTCTGGTATCACAGAATTCCTAGAAAGGACTCTGATTGGTCTCGCATGTGTTGTGTGCCGTGACAGTGATTGGCAGCCCCTCCCGAGACAAGTTGTACGCAAGGAATCATCCCTCCACCGAAAATATGCGAGGTTTGCTATCAGCAGAAAACAGGGTCTGAGGAAGTTGAGAAGAAAGAAAGAAAGAAAGGAAGGAAGGAAGGAAGGAAGGAAGGAAGGAAGGAAGGAAGGAAGGAAGGAAGGA